TTGTACCGAGTGTCTATGGTAACCACTTTTACCTTCCAAAACATGTCGCTCTATACTTTGTGCGAAGGGTGTGAAGGCACGATACACTCGGATGCGAATGACAAGTTGCCTGGGCACAGCCGCCCCTTTTATACTTATGCTCGGCAGACTGACGGTGACGTGTGAACAATGCACGTACTGGCCGCCCGTACCAGCCCTCTCACATGCACCGCCAGACGCAGGTAAGCACCCCACGGGCCCCGTTTGCGTCATTACACCGCCTGCCTATTGGAATCTGGACGGGTGGTGTGTCTTTCCTTCTCCTCCCCCTTCTCTATCTCTCTATTTCTTTATATATATGTATATATATGATATATATAATATATATAATATATATAATATATATAATATATATAATATATATAATATATAATATAATGCATATATGATATACGTATATATGTATATTTTTTATATCACTTATACATATTATATGTATTATGTATTATATACATTATTTATATTATATATATAAATCACACACACACACACACACACACACACACACACACACACACACACACACACACACACACACACACACACACACACACACACACACACTTACCTGCATTGTATATATATATTTGTATGTTTGCATAAGAGTGTGACTCTGTCTTTAATGGTGTGAAGTGTATTTGAAAAAAACAAAAATTGAACGAGGCGTGCTGCAATCAGGGGAACAGCGCACTTGGAAAATGACAAAATATCTAGTATTAACTGCAAAAGGAATACTATGGCAGGAGAAAATCCTTGCATTCCCCAGCGGTGCAGAATCCTTCAGATATTTAAACTGGGGTATTTGCATGCACAGGAATTCTGATTGCCTTTTAAGGACTTAGTGTTTGCTATGCAATAAAAGTTCTATAGGTTTTGTTCTCCCCAAAGGCAAGTCTTTGAAGAAATTTATTTCCTCCTGCATATTTGCACTCTGATGCGGGTGAAAATGTTTGAGTTTTGCCACCCACGTTAGAATCCAAGGCACCAGCGATTTTCAGAGTGACTTTGGCGAATGAAATATTATGGACAGTTTACATTGAAAATAGATTTTATACAAAGGTTTTGCGCTTCGGTATTTCTTTTGAAGGAAACCTATTGTAATCTAATCCGGAATATGAAGCGCTTTATCTTCAAAGGAAGAAGTGTGCTGTAAATAAATTAATTGTGCTGATGTGACAGCTTTGCAAGATAAGAAAGGAAAATATTCATATTTAAGACTATGTACATCTATTTTTCTTTATGCCAGTGTTAGGCCTATATCTATCTATAACACACACACACACACACACACACACACACACACACATACATACATATATATATATATATATATATATATATATATATATATATATATATATATATATATTGTGTGTGTGTGTGTATGTATGTGTATATTTAATGTATATAAATAGATAGATAGATATTCATTGATTTATTTAATTGTTATAGAGAAGTATTGAATATATTTACTTCCGATATTGCAGTGTGTGCCTTGTGTGCTGTTAAGTTTGGACTTTCCTATAGCAAAGCTGTTGACAGGAAAACAGCTGGAATCGGGAAAGTTCTCAAAACTTTTGACGCGGGGTAAAAACGTCAAGGTCAGCACGTACTAATTCTGAAGTTGAGTAAACTGTGGCGGTGTGTGTGACCCAAATGAACTCTGCTGTGCCCTTACAGGGTGCATTTTGCTGTTATTTTGCGTTGAATTTATTTTCTTTATTGACCTGTTTATCCACCTGACATTTTTTTGTGTTGATAATACATGTTACTATTGATACTTTTATTCATCGTCATCACCAAAACAACAATGGCAACAACAGCTATTTGTGTTGGCATTGGTTTGCATGTTTTTTTTATCCACATGCAAAAATATATTTTTTATCTATTTACATATAGGAATAATTAACGTTTACCCCACCCTATCCCCAAGAGAGAAAAAAACAGCGGAAAAGAGGATAGTGGAAAACTCATCCACATTAATGAATACAAACTTAAAATTTCATTTTTAACGTGGTGTGGACACTGGGCTGTTTTGCCACTATGCCAGGATGAGGGTCGTTTTTCAGTGCTACGGAATGTACAGCATACAGGTTTTGATGTTTTGTTTTTGGTCGTGCGAAATTTACGATATATACCGAGTCGACGGATGTATACATTTATAGTCAGATATATATTTTTACAGGGATATATTGTTACATAGATATGGTAATTCAAACAGACAAATGATAAAGAAAGTTTTATCGAGTCAGGAGATTTTATATTTTGCTTATTTATAGCATTTTGCAGAACGGATTTGCGTTGAATTTATTTTCTTTATTGACTGATTTATCCACCTGACATTTTTTTGTGTTGATAATACATGTTACTATTGATACTTTTATTCATCGTCATCACCAAGAAGAAGCATATACAGTCATTTGATTTTGATATCTTTACGATGCTAATACTCGGCAAAACT